GGCCGAGGAGGGGGGGGCATTTGGCGGGGCGAATGCACCTTCAGCCCTTTGGCCCCAATAACACCCCACAGACACACACAAACACACCAACGCACATGCACACACACATACACCCGCACCTACACACACACATGTACCCACCCCCCTCCACACACGCGCGGACGAATACACACACACAAACACACCCGCACCCACCTTGGTGCAGTGAGGAACTCGTGCAGCATCTCAAACATGGCCTCCATGCCGCCGTCCGTCACCGCGAAGTGCACGTCCAACACCACAAACTCCTCGTCCGCCTCCATCACGCTGTTGACCAGGTTGGAGATGCAGAAAACCTCCATCTGGGGGTTTGGGGGGCGGTGTCATGCGTGAGTGTGTGTGTGTGTGTGTGTGTGTGTGTTTCAATTTGTGTGTGTCTGTGTGGAAGGGGGTGCAGAGAGAGAGAGAGAGAGAGAGAGAGAGGAGGTGCAGGCGGGGGAGTGCTTGCGATGGCAGCCCGTGTTCATTACGTGGGCGCATAATGGGGGATCAAGGTTGCTGAAGAAAGGATGCAGCTGGGTTTGTGGCAAGGAAGGTGGGACGGAGGGCACCGGGACCAGATCAGTGCATTCCTGCAAAAAAAACGCACGGCTGGCAGCAACGAATCATCCAAGGGCGGCAGGCAGGGCGCCTCTGGCCCGCGCGACGCAGCGCTCGGAGCAAGAGGCCTGCCGCGGCCACGGCCGGCGCCGCACCTGCTGCCGCTTCCAGCCGCCCGCCGTGCCGCTTTCGCTGAGCGCGCGCGTGCCCACACCGATGCAGCCGGCGCCCGCGGGGCCGGCCTCGGACGGCTCTGTGGCGCGGCCGCCGCCCATCACCAGGCGCAGCATGCCGGCCTTGGGCTCGTTGTCGGTGTGCCTGAGGGGGCGCGGTTCGAATCCCGCCAACGTCAACTTTGTCGATTTCCGCGTGTCTGTGGGGGCGACGCGGCATCGCCGCCCGCGCTCGTCGCGAATTCGCACAACCTCATCCGCGAGACGCGTTTGCCCCCGCCCCGTCATGCAAGGCGCGGCAGTGGATTCCGAACGCCCCCGCCCAGACTGCTCGGCATGCTGCCCGGCATCCCTTGGACGGCTGTAACCCCTCGGCAATGGTTTGGACGCTGGGCAGCACAAGGCGAGCAACCCAGCCCAGGCCTCGGCGGCGCCAGGCCTGCCTCCCCGCCCCTCGCGCCCCTGTGGCGCTTCACGCAAGGGCTCATAGAACCCATCACGCGTATCACTCGCCTGTAGTTGACGCGGATGCCGTTGGACAGCCGCCGCTGCGTGATGCCCGTCGCCGCGTCGGTGGGTGGCAGCGCGGCCGCGCCGGGGGCGTCCTCCACCGGAACGTAGCGCGGCTGCTGCTCCGCCAGCAGCGCCTGGCGCGGTGAGTCGGGCGCGCTTTTGGGCTGATGTTGAGTGCGTGCATCGTCGGGCCGGACGGAAAATGCGCGGCGTGCAAGGCCAAACCGATGGCGCGCCGGGCCTGCCTCTACGGGCCCGGGACGCTGCCGAAGGGCGCGCAGTCAGGGGGCCGTAGGGGTCAGTCAAACATCAGTCAAGCACCGGTCAAACGTCGGTCAAGGCCCCGAGCGCACCTCGAGGCGCTCCGGCGACACCAGCCTCTCGGGCATGTCCACGTCCTCAAGGGGCTCCACCTGGCAGCACAAGATGCACAAGATGCAACGAGACACAGATTGGATTCCACCAGTGCAGCCACGTGCGGTCGGGTGGGGGTGCCACGCAACATGCAACGAGACGCAAAGTTCTGGGCCAAATTCAAAACTGCATAACATCGCAGACTGCTGAACGGGCCTCGGTGCCCTTTGGGCGAGTGCGCGCGTCGGGTCGTCAAAGTGACCCGGCCGCCGTGAGGTTGGGTAAGGGCGGACAGGGGCCAGGCGGAGGCGGAGGCGCCGCGCGCGGCGACGACGCACGGCGGCCCGCGGAAGCCCGTCACGTACACACGCAACCATGCATCCCCATCACACGCACCTCCAGCGCCGGGTCAGCCAGGGCCTCCGCGATCTGCTCCGCCGTCAGCTCAAACCTCATGGCGCCCTCGGGCACCTCAAACTCCTCCAGGTCCTGGGGGGGTGATGATGAGGAGATGACGTCATCGGGGCGGTAAGTGGGGTGGGGTGGGGGAGGGGTTCGGGGAGTGGTGCATATACACACATGCACGTGCACACATGCACATATAATTACACATACACATGAACATGCCGCCCTCACAGACCTTGCTGTCCGCCTCAAGCTCCGCCAGGTCAATGGTGACCACGGTCAGAGGCATACATACACGTACACACACGCGCATAAACACACACACACACACTACCCCCCTCACCCACCTTGCTGTGCGCCTCCAGCTCCGCCAGGTCGATGGTGTCTGCGTCCAGGTGGCCCCCCGCCCCCAGGTTGGCGCCGCGCGACATCGCGCCGCCGCCCGGCGCCGCCGACGCGCCAGAGGCGTCCATGAATTCGGGGATGCACGCAACGATGGAGGTCGCCCTGGATAATTTGGATATTTTTTGGATACTTCAGATACTTATGAATATAGTTGGGAGGCTTTGTACTTGGGTATGCACACGGATTGATGGTGTGTGTAGTGTGTGTGCACGCTGACGTGCGGGAAGGTGTGCGGTGCGCAGGAGGTGGGGTGGGACAAATGGCGACGCGTGGGCAGGCAAGGCAGGCGCTGGCCGCCACGCCACAAAACCGCCTGCGCCCGGACGGAGCACTCAACCCGGGGTGGCCGCGGAAGCCGCGCAAGGCGGCCTCGCGGCCGCCACGTCATCGCAACACCGTCGCCCTCAAAACGCCGCAGCCGTCCCGCACCCGTCCCGCACCCGTCCCGCACCCGTCCCGCTCCCGGCAACAAAGCGGCACGACGGGCGGGCGCGCGGCACCATGAATCACGACCTCAAAAAAGACAAAAACGACACGCTGCTGCAAACTGTTCAACAGTCTCTCATCGGCCCCACCTTGACGGCCCCGGCTCCGCCCACAGCCCCGGCTCGCCCGCCGCGCGCTCCAGCACGGCCCCCTCCGCCCCGTAGTCGCTGGCAAAGGTGAGGAAGCTGCGAGCCACGGCGTTGACGTCCTCCAGGGTGATGGTGTCGCCCACCGCCAGCATGGCATCGTGGGCCTCCCTGGGGGGTGGGGGTGTGGAG